TTTTGCTCCAAAGATATATATACTTTAAATGCGTTTTTTTCTGTTTATTTGGTTGGCTTTTACTTTTTTTCGGTGCCTGTTGAGCGATAAAAATCAGGCATAAACATGAGTTAACCAAAAATCAAAAGTGCCACGCGGCTGCTGCTGCTTTTATGAATGACTGACTGAGTGACTGACCGACTGACGGACCGCGGATCGCGGACGACGGACGGCAGACGACGAGTGAGTTATACTGCCCGAAAGCACTTGTTGCGCCAACAAACTTGTATGGGCAGCTTCAACAACTACCAAACAAAATTCAACAACTACAATAACAGCAGTTTAAACACGAACAAAGACTGTAGTTTCAACAACAAATGCCAGAAAAGAGCAGTTTCAACAACAGAAAAAAATTACAACAATAGCTACAACTAGATTTGAAACAACAGAAACAAGAACAAAAGTTTCAACAACAAGAAATGCAACTCCAAAGGCACCAACAACAATAAAAACAACTACAACAGCACTTGCACCAGCAACAACAACGCTACCTGCCATCACCGGCTATTGACGAACAACTTCAGCGACAAGATCATAAATCAAAATTTGTATTTTATTTTCGCGCAGACCCAACTCCCTCACTCTCTCCCTCTCCCCCTCACTTCCTCTCGCACACACGCTCTATCTGTTTTTTTTTTAATTTTTATGAATTTCGTGATTTTTTCATAGCTTTTTTTCTGCATAAATTAAAAATTGCCGCGCGAGTTGCGCGCGTTTTGCTGGCGATTGCAGTGCGATTACAACCGTTTGGCCAGCTGGCGCGTGCTGGAAGCGTCTCAGAGGAAAGTTGTTGGCCATTAAAGTTAATAGAGAGGCAGGTGGAGAGCAGGTAGAGCCAGAAGTTAAACGAAAGTGATCGCGGGCTGTGATCATCTAACACATCAAACGTGGGGCGTGAGCGGGATGCAACTTTCAGGTCCGGAAAGAAGTTAAATCTGCTACAATTGGCGCCTGCTGATCGGGCATCGATAATCGGTGAATCGGAGCTTCCACTAATCCACCTGCGGCCCATTAATCAACGGCTAAGACAATGCCCATGGCTCTGGCCGGGCCGTAATTCAAAGCTGCCGCTGAAAGAAGCCGCCGAAAATTGTTTTTCATGTTAACCGCTTTGGCCAGCAAATTGAAATTTCTCGCACCAAAAATGTGCAGCAAAAATGCTAAAATCTTGTTGCACGGAATTTATGAATGAAAACCAAGGCAGCAGCAGGGCCAGTAGCAACAGCAGCAACAACAGCAACAGCAACAGCAACAGCGGGGGCAACATCAGCAAACATAACAAGCAACAAGCTGAGAACAATGAGGGGAAAACTCTGTTTGGTGGCCATAAATTTGTGGCAACAAAACTGAGACCATTTCATGCCTCGCCATTTGCTCTTGCCACTGCTGTGTTTGTTGCCTTTGTTGTTGCTGCCGCAGCTGCTGTGTTGTCGCTCGCCAGGAAAAGCTATAAACATTTTTGTTGCTTTTTAGCCAGACATCCACCGCGGGTCGCAGTGGAAATGCATTTGCTTGAGCAAGCCATCAAGAAGGAACCACAGATACTCTAGAATGTCGGAAAATACTAAAGGAAGATGGACTCTTACGTGGATATTCAAATCTCAGCTTGGGTCAAAGGTGTGCAGAGATCCGCAACACTCGTATCTGAAGACCATCCAGTGGCTTCACCATCCGAAGCTACCCTTTTCCTGCCAGAGAGTATCGGACATTATCCCATGGCTTATTTTTGGGGCGTTGAGGCTGTCATTAAGCCCAGGCATCCGTGTCCAAGGCCCTGTCCAGGGCTTTCTTCGCCGTTTGCTTAGTGCAAATAAAGCCGTACGTTTTTCGGCAGTGGGAGGAGTTCCCCCATATTTATGGTTTGGCAAGGGGCGTGCAGCTCGTTGGGCGGTGATTTATCAGGGAAAAGCTGTGAAATGTTTCCTAGGAATATGAAAACCTTTTCGCCCGGCTCTCCCACACAAATCAATCGATGGCCGAATGGAGGCCAGATGAAGTTATTAGAGTTTTCTGGGCAATTGGCTTATCGGTTTCCCACGTTTTAAATGCTCAACTGTCAAATGAATTAGAGTCGGTCTCGAGAGGGGCGGAGTGCCTGGGGTTGGGGACACATTTGGCAATGCCCGACGAAACCAGTTAACAGCCACGCAGGTGTCTCCCTCTCGCTCTCCCTCCCCCCTCTCTCTCTCTGTTTCTATCTGTATCTTTTGTGAGTAAGTTTTATCGCTCGAACGGCAAGTGTTCACAATTAGAAAGCCCACAACAGTCAGCGGCAGTGGCAGCAGCCCCAAGTGGTGTCCACTCTTCGCCTTGCCCCAGCATCATCTGTGCTCCATCATCATCATCATCATTATCATCATCATCGTCGTCGTCGTCATTGTGATCGTCATCGTATTTTACAGTCCACTTCCACTTGGCTGGAACTGTGGCTGAAACACTGGCTGAAGGAGAAGCGCGTTCCCGTCGTCATAAAACTCATCTGTAATCTGCCTCCAATTCGAGGTCCGACTCTGTCTCGGGCTGGAGCTCCGAGTCGGACTCTTGGCTAGCCAGCCATCAATTCTGCGTTTGACTGCATAAATTATATGGCAAGTGACATATTGCGGAAGTGATCAAGCAAGTGTCTGACCATCTGACCAGCCGCTCGAAGTGGGTTAAAAGGATAATGCCACAGAGACGACTTCGATCTGTTGTCTGCTGCTGCTGCTGCTGCTGCTGCTGCTGCTGCTGCTGTTGCTGCTGCTGCTGCTGTTGTGGCTGCCTCAAGTTGACACAGTGACATGCTAATTTCTTGCTGCTTTTTGCCATATTTGTTCATATGAAAGTGGTACAAATTCAGAGAGAGAGAGAGAGAGAGACACAAGTACCCAGACGGTGGGACACCATAAGGCTGATTGACATTTGACAGACTGTCTGAGATCCCAAAGACACTTTTACTCTCATGCGAACTCTTCTTTCCCCCTCTCTATATTTTGCACTGCTTCGTTTTTCGCAGGGGAACTTGTTGAGTTGATATTTCATGTACGATTTCGTGTATATCTCGTTTATCTATCCATTTGTATTTATATAGATGTATTTTTTTGAGAGTTTGCTTAAGCTGACAATTGAGAGGCTGTTGGCCATTAGTTTTGACATTTGCTTAACTTCATTTTAGCGCAAAACGATGAACAGCAAACCAGAAATACATCATAAATAGACAGAAGTTGGTTTAATATGGAAACATTTGTGGGGATACTACAGTTTATTGTGCCCACAAGTACAAGCAGGTACAGTTTTTTGGGGACTGTTGCTGTAAGGAGAACCTCGACAATATTTGATCATTGAGCGCAGATTTTTCGCTTGGCCTCCCTTGCGTAACAGCTATAAAATATATCGTACGAGTTTCTGTGCAAAGGTACACACAGAAAGGTAACTTTTTTTTGTTTGTAGGCATAGTCTATTACCAAGTTTATGCCTTTATCTAAAACCAGCAGCGATCAAGGCTCTTCTTTGGCTTTCTTGTGGCATGTCTAGATCTGACTGTAGTTCAAGTGTTTTTCCAGTAATTGAAAATATCTCTAAATTTGTTTAACCCCCAGCCGAGACTCACAAAATGCTTCTCGCTTGATTGACCATTTAAATGAAATGGAAATGAAAATTTTACTTGTGGATTTCGGCTACCGTTCGACGTCAAGGCTGGCTACGGGAACGGGGCCGGGGCTGGGGTTGGGGTTGGGGCTGGGGCTGGGGATGCCAATGTCAATGATCCGACAATTGATTACCTCAGCCCCATCAGGCATCAGACAACAGCCAATTCTGGTAGCTATCGGCTAATTGAAATCGATGGCCCAGGCACAGATACAAATACAAGCACACGCTCATAGTGGAATGCACATAAAAGCCGAGTCTCCTCAAACTGTTTTTATGGGCAAAAAACCTAAAAAAAAAAAAACATGAGCCAAGTCAGTGAAATTTGCCAAACGCTGAAAAAAAGCTGAGCTTGGAGCGGCGCTACAAAAATCCAACCAACCGCGAAGAACGACCTTGAGCAAGTCTGGCCTGGCAAGTTTATATAGCATAGATATAGATAGAGTAGATACGGATACGAGTACATGTGTATGGGGTATGGCACAGTGTGGACGGACGCCATGCAAGATTGCAGGCTGCAGATACAGTTAAGAGTGCGCATAAATAGCATTAGATACGCGTCGTTTTGGCCTGATGCCTGCATCTATATTTAAACACGCTCACTCGCAGATACTTCTACTTGAGTCACAGTCAGCTACAGATTCCGACTCAGGCAGAGCTTCACTGTGGGATATCTTGGGGCTGGCTTTCAAAAAAGTGAAGTGCTCCGGCAGCGACTCACAGCTCAGCGCACAATTAGTTCTACGAGCAGCTGGAGCTGAAGCTGAAGCTCGAAAATGAAAACTGAAAGTATCTGCGAGATACATTTTGGCTGCTGGCTCAAGTGCCTGCTTTGCATTTGCCCAACAAAGATACAAGTTTCTCAAATGATGAAATACACTCGATTAAGACATGTGTTAGACTCTCGTATCTCGTAGATACTTTTATGTGTGTCGCACGCTGCCAAAAACTATAGTTTATAGAGCCATTTTCCTGCCAGCTGCTTTTCACGACCATTCACTCTTAATTTTATATGAAAAGCTGTTTGAAAAGCAGCCATAAGCCACCTTCCCACATATGTATCTATCTATAGTTGTAGCTGTATCTTTGCCTGCATCTCTGTATGTCTCTGTATCTATTACTCCGGTTCTGCTCTGGCTAAGGATGCTGTCGATCCGCATTAGCTCAAACTACTAGGCATAGACAATTTCATTTGCATTTGCATTTATCGCTATTCACACGCCGATCAAATAAAGTGCGACTCATGCTGACTTCGACACTCACCATTCGGCGCCTAATTAGCGATGACTCTCTGGCCGTGCCTCATAATGATCAAGTGTTTTTCCCTGTTGCAGGTGAAAATCTGGTTCCAGAACCGCCGCTCCAAGTACAAAAAGATGATGAAGGCGGCCCAGGGTCCGGGCACCAACAGCGGCATGCCTCTGGGCGGAGGTGGACCCAATCCTGGTCAGCATAGTCCCAATCAAATGCACAGTGGTGAGTCGCCAGAACCCCCGAACACCTATCCCCATATCCAAAGGGAACCAGGAACTAAAGGATCTCCCATTGCATCTGTTCTTTCAGGCGGTAATAACGGCGGCGGCTCGAACAGCGGCTCCCCCTCACATTATCTACCTCCCGGACACAGTCCAACGCCATCGAGTACGCCCGTGTCCGAGCTATCACCTGGTAAGTGGGATCTGCTTGATGCCTCTACTCGGCTTCCACTTGGCTATATCCCTGTGTTTTTTCCTCCTTTCCCTCCCCTTAGAATTCCCCCCAACGGGTCTCAGTCCGCCAACGCAAGCACCGTGGGACCAGAAACCCCACTGGATCGACCACAAGCCGCCACCGCAAATGACGCCGCAGCCACCTCATCCAGCGGCGGCAGCGCCACATCCGCAGTCGCACCACCACAACCCGCCACCCCAAATGGGTGGCTACGTGCCCCAGTATTGGTATCAGCCCGAGACGAATCCATCATTACTAACGTGAGTTTAAGTCTTTAAAGTCACCCCTGACATCATCCTGGCATCCTGAAGAGACACTCTAGAACGAACCTAACCAACTCCTCTGTTACCTTTTCTGCTCTCTGCAATCCACAGCGTTTGGCCGGCGGTCTAACAGCATCCGAGCACGCTGCCCTCGGCTGCCTGGATGCAGCATCATCACCACCACCACCAGCAGCAGCAGCAGCACCAGTCGCATCTCCACCAATCCTGCCCAGACCTGGATATGCAGCAGCACCAGCTGCAACTAGGCCTCCAGCAGCATCGGCAGGACTATGCCAGCGGGCCGCTGGGTGGTGGCGTGGGCGGGGCAGTGCATCACACAATATCTTAGCCAATAACAAAACCATGATAGCAACCTGTAAAATATCCATGAAACTATTGACAAAACCCAACAAACGAAGAGAGGAAAACTTAAGAGCTAAAGCAAGAATTTTGTACATTTTAAAAATACTATAAATATGTTTACCAACGTGAATAAAGTCGTTCTAAACTTTAGTCTAGCTACTATCTAAAACACACAAACACAAAATCTATAAAAAAAAGAAACACAACTTAAAAAACATTCCTCAAGAGAAACACAAACAAAAACACAGAAGCAAGTATGAAACGTGTCCTTTAATTTTGTTTAATTTAGCAAATTAACTTATGTATAAACCTATCTATATATGAAACAAACAACAAAACATAAACTACATACTATATATAGTGAGCAAAAGCAACAAAATACAAAAGCATAAAAAAGTAAATCGTAAATAAAAATCAAATGAAATGAAAAAATCAGCTGTTGATCTTAAGAGTTTCTTTCGAAATATTTTGTTCTTGTGTAGAAAATTCGAAATAACGAGCAACAAAAATCAGTAAAATCAGATCTCAAATGCAAGAAGAATTCCCCTCGATTCTCTTAATAATTTTTGTTCGTAGTTTCGCAATCTTGTTTCTTTGACCCCACACAGCACTTGGAAGAGGACCCATGCCCATCCTTAGAGAAAAGAGTCGATTTCGTTCACTTAATGTGCAATAATAATATTACTTACCAAGTCTTGCCCCCTTTTCTCTTTTTTTCTGGTAATCTCGCACCCAAAAACTTATTGAATTGTATTTATTGTATTGTACATTTTTGTATAGACCCCAATTGAATCGCCAATCTAATCTTTTGGCAGATGAAAGATCTGCCATCTCTCCATCTCAATCGGAATGAAAATAAAAAAAATGGAAATGGGAATATGAATGCTCTTTCTTAAATGCGATTCGATTCGATTTTGAGCTTGCTGTAGCTGTAATTATGGATTAGTTTTAGTTTTAGTTGTAGTTTATGAACGGTAATTAGTACGTGTGTTTCACTCTAGTTTATTTAATTTATACCAACAGCAAAAACCAGAATTAATTCATAAATAATTGATAGTTTAACATTTAAAGTGCGTGCGTGTGTGTAGATAATGTATGCGTATGTGTGTATGTGTGCTTGTGAGTGTGTGTGATTGAATTGTAAACTATTAAATGATAAAGAAACAATAATTAAACAGTGAAATAAAACAAAACTACGTTTCAGAAAATACACAAAAAAAAAAACCCAAATTCATAGAAAAACTGAAAGGAACAAAAATATAAAAATCATGTGCTAGCATTTAATTAATTAGTTTTAATCTAGAAAATGGCAAAAAATAATGGTAAAGCCTAGCGATTCGTTTGCCCCTCCCGACCTCTATCCCCACTCCTTCCCTCTTAGTTTTAAGTAATTAAAGTAATTCTAAAATCCAATCAAACAAATGAAAATAAACCAGAAAAATCCAATAAAAAAATAAAGAAAATTTTAATAATCTGAAAATTATTGTTGAAAACGTGGGCAGGGGGAAGAAGGCCACTTTCAGGGACATTGGCTGCCGTTTAAGAGGACAGAGGACAGAGGAGCAGGGGAAGATGCCGCACATTAATGCATTACACTTGAAAAAGTTAAGTGGCATTCAACGGACGAGCGAGTATCTGTGTGCTCGGTGTGAGAGCACGTGTAGTGAGGGTGTGTGTGAGTGCGGAAGGAAGCGTGAAAATCTGTTCCATTAATCATAAAAGAGCGCAACAGGATATGCTTGAGGCTGGCAGGCTTTTACAGGCTCGATGAATGGTTCCATTATGTCCTCGAGGCAGCATCGTTTTGCACCCGACCAAAATAGAACAGAGGGAGTGAGAGATGCAGATACAGATACAGATACAGATACAGTGCGATCTTCTTATAGAGTGAGGCAGTCCCATCTCTCACCCTGATTCGTTCACTTGCTGTTGTGCAATTAGCTAGGAAACACACATTTTAGCAAGAGAATCAACTCTCGCAGAAGTATCTTACAGTCCCTGAGAGTATCTCAAGCTGAGACTGTCAATCACACATATTGTTGGTTTAGTTAAAGGCTGACTTCCAGATTCACTCGGCTCTCGGCATTCGAATGGCACATAAAAAACAGAGCCCAATGGCTGGACAGACAGGCTTCAACTGTCGCCTTCTGTTGGTTCTGTTGGAGACCCTGCTCGGTCCCGGTCCCGGTACTGGTCCTTGCCCTCAGCCTCATTAAATCAACACCTTTTCGACCCGGACCCTCAAAGACAATGGCCACGAAGAGGAATTTCAGCTCGAAAGAGGATTTTTGCATTTCTGAACGCTTTTTGCGATTTCAATTTAAAATTTCCGACAAGAATTCACGAATTCTCTCAGCTCAGGAGTACTCAATGGTTTCTAATTGAGAGAGAGACAGACCCAGGGCACAATAGCAGTAGGGACCTGGCTTTCGGTAGCTAGGAGTGCCCTGGCTGTACTTACCGTGTTTACATAAATTAGCAGCAATATTGGGCCTTGGAGGAGGAGTTGCTGTGGCACCAGGAGGTGGATGAAACGACTGAAACAGTAGAAGGACAAAGAGTCAGAGTCAGAGTCAGCGTCAGAGTCCCAGTCCGAGTCAAAGGCAAAGGAATTTCCTTGTAAAAATGACGCATACCAAACTTAGACACAACGGGGACATCCAACGTTGTCGTTGCTGTCATTCGAGCGGTTGCGTTCCGAAACTCAACAAGGTTTTGTGTCAACGCCAAGTCCAGCTTCAGCATCAGCTCCGAGTCCAGCTCGTCTCTGACTTCCAGTCTATACGAGTACCAAATTGGTATTGGTGTGTCCGTGGGTCCAGGCCAAATACTCGTACAATAAAGGAAGGAACTACAAAACTAAACAAACAACAAAAAGAGCAGAGCCCAAGAGCTGCTGCAGTTGAAGTTATTTGTGAAATTCATCCGTCAAAGTCGCGACCGGCCCTGGGAGCCTTTGCCTCAGCTTCAGTCCAACCAAAACCGAAAACCCAAACCCAAACCCAAGCCCGAACCCAGCCCAGACATTGGGTCTTTGGCGTAAAACTTGAAAAGCGTTCCTTTCATGGCTTTTGCCCATTGTCTTGAACCTGGCTACTGGTCATGCATAGCTCCTGCTCCTGCTGCCGCTTCTGATTCTGCTGCTACTTCTGTCCCTGCTGCATTCCTGCGCACCGTCCGCTTGGAATGATGAACGATGTGTCGCTGATGACCTGATCAAAGTGGAGCATCTGCACGCATATCGATTGCAGAGCACTGGACCAAAGCTCAGTTCGGTTCAGCTTTGGGGACGGGACGATCGGAGTAGAACGTCCGAGTAGTATAGCGTCCTCCTCTGGTCTGTTGCAATGTTTAAGGACATGACATTTTTTGTCGTACCGTTTGCTAAAATAACTTTGTTAAGATTTTTGCAACTCGCTTTGGGGCCTGGCCCCCAGCCCCCAGCCACCAGCCGCTGGCCGCTAGCCTCCGGCTCTGCCTGTACCGCTTCGCACAAAACGAAACGAAAATCCCGAAAAAAAAGCAAGGGACAAATTTGATGTGGCAGGGAGTCGGAATCGAAATCGGACTCGGACACTGGCTTTTGTAGTCTCTCTTTTCCTGAATTGCATTTTCAATGAGGCACCATAAATCTTGGCCAGGCTAAGAGCCGAACAGAGGGCAGGCAGCCACAGCCCCGCAGTGGCAGTAGTCGCTGTCTCTGACCGATATGACAAATGTATTTTATGAACTGTCAAAATAGGTGTTGAAAATGAATTAATTTGCTCTCTCTCACTCAGCGGCTCAGCTCAGACTTCGACTGTGACTCTGACTCTGACTGACATTTGGCGGCAAACATCAGACCCGTAATGCGTAAGGTCGTCTGACATTTGTAACAGAGTTGGCTTGTGCAATCCATGGCGAGAGGGTGTGAGAGCCGTGGAAGAGGTCGCTGCAGTGGCAGACAGACGGGGGCATGTCTCACACATTTCAGCTGCTGCGCCTGCGCCTGCGCCTGTGTCAAGCTTCCGAGTCCAAAATCTGAAATGAGAAATCCGAAACGGGCAATTACGCGAAACTGGGTTTTATTTCCCTACCTCATAGCTCTGACTGTCGATAGTGGCTGTGCTGCAGTCGTAAACTCTGCTAATTTAATCAGGCTGGGGGCGTGCCACGTGAGGCACGTGACAAGCGAGCGTTTGATCTACCCAAAACGAAGTGCAGCTGCCTTTGAGGCGTGCTTGGCAGCTCTGCAAAAAGCAGATCCAATCGGGAGGGAACCATTTCCCGAAAAGGTTCTTCAACTGTGGAGGAGGGTTTGCTGCTTTTGCAGTAAGCTTTATTTGTGTGAGTGTTCTACCTATATAAACATAATTTTCAATCCTAGAAACATCCCTACATCCATTTGTGAACCTAGAAGTTCCCAAGCATCGGCATCCCCAACACACTTCCTGCTTTGTTCAACCCATCTGAATTCCCCCCCAATATAATCTATTGTGCAATAATTTAGAATTTTATTGCGACACATTCGAGGCGACTGACAGAGAGAACTACGAGTACTCAAACGCGTATGAAAGCAAGTGCATACTCGCCAAATGTTTATTCTATGAAAACTAATGTTTTATGTATTTGTGGGCTGACATTAGAGGGGGAGAGCGAGATAGATATGCTGACCAGGGCAGCATATGATTATCGGTGAATCGACATCGACTGGCCTCTTGACGTTTTCATAAATACATAAATAAATGTTAAGAAGCTCCGGACTCAAGTGCAACCAGTCGAGGCTTTCCCAAGCCCCTGGCCCGGGGCGTGAAACGCGTTTTCTGCTTCTTTTCTGCCAGTCCGCCGTTGGAGTCGCCTCATGTTTAATGCGAAAGTGGTGAGCGGATCAAGAGCAGAGCAGAGCAGGGCAGAGCAGTGCGAATGTGTTGGCCGCGACACCTAACACAAGTCGAATGCTGGACTCCACTTGCAGCTCCAGCTCCATCTCCGGCACCATCTCCTGCCTGGGTCTTATGCAACACTCTGGGGACATTGTAGCATAAGCAATAAACACATTAACGTGTTATTTAGTTGTCAACATGGCCAGGAAGCTGCCTTTGGCTGGCTTTGATTCGAACCGCGCGATAGCCGCCATAGAAGGCAAAACCGCGACCAACTTCGCAGAGGACTCCCATCAGATCAGATCCGAACCGAACCGAACCGAACCGATGCTATGCTATGCTAAATTAACTAAATCTCTTGTGCGGATGCTCGAACCAGCATATGAAGTGCACATGAAATTTTCTCTCGCCAATTGTGGGTGATTCTCGCCCCCCCACATCACTCAGACAAAGGAACCGAAGAACCCCAAACAAAAC